CAAGACGCGTTGGGGGAAAGAACGGTGTAGGTATTTTAGTTGACAGGGAACTAAGGGAGTTGGTGGTAAAGGTTAGGACGATAAATGATAAGTTGATGAGTATTAAGCATGTAGTTGGAGGGTTTACTGTAAACATGGTTAGCGCGTACGCCCTTCAGGTAGCATTGGATCAGGAGGTCAATTAGGCGATTCTGGGAGGATTTGGACGGGGTTGTGCATAGTATCCCGCACTCTGAGAAGCTTTTCATTGGAGGAGACTTCAATGGACATATTGGGGCTAATGCTAGGGGCTATGATGGTGTGCATGACGGATTTGGTTTTGGGGTTAGAAATGAAAAAGGTACCTCACTATTGGATTTCACTAGTGATTTGACTTGGTGGTAGCCAACTCGATTTTTCCGAAGAGGGAGGAGCACCTGGTCACCTTTCGGAGTACTAGACAAGACCCAAATTGATTACCTTCTCAATAGGAAATGCGATAAAAATCTATGCACTGATTACAAGGTCATCCCGAGTGAGAACCTCGCGACCCAACATAGGCTTCTGGTTATGGATCTGGAGATCAAGAGAAATTAGAAGGACTGAATTACATTTCTAATTCTAAATGCTAATCAGGTTCTCCCTTTTGACCATTGTTTTAAAAGGCCGAACGTGTTTGATACGAGAGAGGTGTAAGCCTCAAGACATAAACTTAAGATCTTTAAATTTTTTAATTTATAGATTACTAATATAACATAATAACGCAACATAATATAAAAAATATCTAGCATATTTTTACAAGTATAAATAATCTGATATTGTTAAAGCTACTACAATATAAAATATAACTCAAATAATAACGTTTTAACATTGAAATAGTTCAAAATAACAATCTTAAAAAAAATTATCAAACTACACATTTTACCTCCCTAAAAGTAAATACTCAATAAATTTCATATGTCTTGTAATCTAAAACATTACTTCTTAATGAGTAAAGGGTGCATCTAGGCTGAGAGTTAGGTCCTGGAACATAGGGAATTTGACGGGGAATTCTATAGAGTTTGGTAAGATTCTCTAGAAGAGAAAGATCAACAGAGCATGTGTCAAGGAGACTATATGGGTAGGTACTAAGGAACGTGATGTATAAGGGTATAAACTGTGGTACTCAAGACGCGTTGGGGGAAAGAACGGGGTAGGTATTTTAGTTAACAGGGAACTAAGGGAGTTGGTGGTAAAGGTTAGGACGATAAATGATAAGTTGATGAGTATTAAGCATGTAGTTGGAGGGTTTACTGTAAACATGGTTAGCGCGTACGCTCTTCAGGTAGCATTGGATCAGGAGGTCAATTTGGCGATTCTGGGAGGATTTGGACGGGGTGGTGCATAGTATCCCGCACTCTGAGAAGCTCTTCGTTGGAGGAGACTTCAATGGACATATTGGGGCTAATGATAGGGGCTATGATGGTGTGCATGACGGATTTGGTTTTGGGGTTAGAAATAAAAAAGGTACCTCACTATTGGATTTCACTAGTGATTTGACTTTGTGGTAGCCAACTCGAGTTTTCCGAAGAGGGAGGAGCACCTGGTCACCTTTCGGAATACGGTAGCCAAGACCCAAATTGATTACCTACTCTATAGGAAATGCGATAAAGCTCTATGCACTGATTACAAGGTCATCCCGAGTGAGAACCTCGCGACCCAACATAGGCTTCTGGTTATGGACCTGGAGATCAAGAGAAGTAGGAGGAAGAGAGCGGTGTGCAGGCAACCTAGGATCAAGTGGGGTAACTTGACTAAGGAAAAATCCCAGGAGTTGGAGGAGAGATTGTTGGCTATGAGGGCATATAGAAGTAGGGGGGAAAAGACTAGGATGTGCACCACGGCAGCGGATTGCATTAGGGAAACTGTAGAGATATTTTAGGGGTCTTGAAAGGTTACTCTGGGAGTCACAAAGAGGGCTGGTGGTGGAATGGAGATGTTCAAAGTAAGTTGGACGCCAAGAAAGCGGCTTATATGAAACTTGTAGAGAGTAAAGACGAGGAGGAGAAAAGGACATATCGGGAGTGTTATAAGAAGGCAAAGAAAGAGACGAAGTTAGCAATTACGGCGGTCAAGACTGCAGCTTTTAGACATCTATACGAGGAACTCAGGGGCAAGGGTAGGGATAAGAAGCTATACTAGTTGGCCAAAGTGAGGGAGAGAAGTCCCGAGACTTGGACCAAGTGAAGTACATCAAAGACGAGGACGACAATGTATTGATGGACGAGGCACATATTAGACGAAGATGACAGACATACTTCCGTAAATTGTTGAACAAGGAGGGGAATAGAAGCATCGTTCTGGGTGAGTTGGAGCACTTCGAGAGTCTGCGTAATTTTGGATATTGTAGGCGTATTAAGGCAAACGAGGTGGAGAGGGCGATATGTAAGATGAAAAGGGGAAGAGCGACGGGACCAAACGAAATTCCGGTGGAATTTTGGAAGAATGCGGACCCTGCTGGCTTGAAGTGGCTTACTGAGTTGCTTAATGTTATTTTTAAGCCAAAGAGGATGCCCTAAGAATGGATGTGGAGTACGATGATCCCATTGTACAAGAACAAGGCGATATTCAAAACTGTAACAACTATAGGGGATAATGCTTTTGAGCCATACTATGAAGGTTTGGGAGAGGTTAGTAAAAACCAGGGTGCGGAGGATCGTGTCTATGTCTGAGAACGAGTCCGAATTCATGTCGGGGCGTTCGATGACGGAAGCTATCCATTTGGTGAGGAGGCTAGTGGAGCAGTACAGGGAGAGTAAGAATGACTTGCATATGATGTTCATTGACCTTGAAAAAGTGTACGATAAAAGTCTTAAGGGAGATTCTGTGGAGGTTCTTGGAGGTTAGCGGCGTCCTGGTAGCGTATACTATAATGATTAAGGATATGTATAATGGTGAGAAGACTCGGGTGAGGACTATGGGAGGAGACTCGAAACACTTTCCAGATATGATGGGGTTGCACCAGGGATTAGCTATTAGCCCGTTCCTATTTACCCTGGCGATGGAGGTGTTGACGCGGCACATCCAAGGGGAGATGCCATGGTGTATGTTGTTTGCAAATGATATGTTCTTGATAGACGAGACTCGATGCAGGGTTAATGCGAGGTTGGAGGTTTGGAGATAGACCTTAGAGTCTAAAAGTTTCAAGTTGAGCAGGACCAAAATAGAGTACTTGGAGTGCAAATTCAATGACGGGACCATTGAAACAACTATGAATGTGAAGCTTGATACTCAAGTCATACCAAAGAGAAGTAGTTCAAGTATCTCGGGTCTATTATACAGGGTAAGGGAGAGATCGACGAGGATATCATACATCGTATTGGAGCGGGATGGATGAAGTGAAGGCTTACATCTGGTGTTCTATGTGATAAGAATATGCTGACAAAACTTAAGGATAAGTTTTACAGAGTGGTGGTTCGACCTACACTGATGTATGGGGCGGAGTGTTGACCAGTCAAGAGCTCCCATGTGCAGAAGATGAAAGTGGCATAAATGAGGATGTTGAGATGGATGTGTGGGTGTACCAGGAGGGATACGATTAGTAATGAAGTTATTCAGGACAAAGCGAGAGTGGTCTCCGTAGATGCGAAAGTCGAGGCTAAGATGGATCGGGCATGTTAAGAGGAGAAACATTGATGCTCCCGTTAGGAGGTGTGAAAGGTTGACCATAACAGGTTTGAAAAAAGGTCGAGGCAGACCTAACAAGTACTATGGAGAGGTAATAAAGCATGACATGGCGTGACTTTAGCTCACTGAGGACATGACCCTTGATAAGAGGGTGTGAAGGTCGAGCATTAGTGTAGAATGGTAGTAGGCAATTGAGAGTTTCTCCCTTTCTTACCAATAGTAATAGTAGCACACATGTACTTTCCTATTTCTCAGATTTATAGTACATCATGTTATTTAGTTTGTTTCGGTTGTCGTATTATCCTGTGGTTACTATTTTGGTAATACTTATTCTTCCCCCCCCCCCCCTCTTTTCTTCCCTCTCTTTATTTCTTTTTTTTTCTTCTTTTTCTCCCTCTGCTTCTTCTTATTCTTCTTCCTCTTCTACTCCTCCCTACCTTTTTGAGCCGATGGTCTATTGAAAATAACCTCTCTACCTTCACTAGGCAGGGGTAAGGTCTGCATACACAGTACCCTCCCCATACCCCACATGTGAGAATATACTCGTATTATGTTATTGTTGTTGTTGTGGTTGGTATTGTTATTGTTGTTGTTAATGAGTAAATACAACATTGTAAATATTAAAATAATAAAAGTTTGATAATCTTGAAAGATATAGAATTAATACATGAAGATCTAGCGAGTAAAGATATTGTTTTGACTATTTACTTTAAGAAGAAATATTCAAATAATATTTACACTCACGAGTCACGATCTTTGAGTTTTTCACAATCTTCATATTCAAAAAGATGAATATAACTTTAATTATACATTTATTGACGAATTTTAAGAATCAAGACTGCTAACTAGTAAATTCAATACATGATTTACATAGAAACTATTAAGCGAGCTCTGAGTTTAAGCGATAGGTGTGTTTAGAGCATATGGTCAGGCGTTGGGGACATGAGCTTCATAAAACTAAGCCTCACACGTGAGCCTCGAGGCTTTTTGATAGTGTTCCAATTAAGTTTCCAATTTTATGGTATTCTGTTCACAAAGCTATTGCCTTATTAATGAAAGTAGGAGGTCATGGCCGCTTTCTAGCGTGTTTGGCCAAACTTTTAAATTTATTTTTATTTTTTAAAGTGTTGTTTTAAAAGTATTTTTCTCAAAACTATTTTTAGTGAGAAGTAATTTATATTTGACTAATTAATTAATGTTTAACTAAACTTTTAAAAAGTGAAAATTACTTTTCAAAATAATATTTCTGAATAGAAGTCACTTTTTCCTCTAAACCTGCTTCTACTTCTACTAAATAAAAAAATATTTTTCTGAAGAAAGCTTGGTCGAACACTTGTTTTTTGAAACAAAAGCACTTTTAAAAAAAATTATTTTTCTCCGAGCTTGGCCAAAATGGCTATTCGTCTGTATCTGTAAACGGGCAACTCCCAAAAATAGCCACGCCATTGCTGAGTTGCTCCTCTCCCAGAATATGATGACGTTACGCTTAATTCCAGGTGGCTCCCCGCTAAAGTTATCCACCTCGCCGCCGTCAATTACTCTGTATCGCTTTCCTACAGCCTCCAATCTGTCTTATAACAGGTTCTTCATAGTATCTACAAGAACTTAATTTCTTAGTATCTCCAACTTGGGTCTTTCAATTTTTGTGTTAACTGAATTGATATCTGCTTTACTGCAGAAAATTTATGATTAAAATGTCGATTCAGTCAACCCCATCAGCGGCTACAAACCCAATAAACAACATTGTTGTGTGTACTCCTCTTTATTAGCTAGCTGTTGATTATCACTTTCGCGATTTTCTTGGATTTGGTTTATCTTATGAATTAACTTTTTTTGTTCTTTCTCATTCAAGCAGTTGGGTTGTGGGATGGTGGCGTTGGACTTTTTGGTTACTGTTGATTCTTATCCTAAGCCTGATGATAAGATTCGTAGCACCAGCTTTCTGGTGCGATTGATTTTTCTTTAGTACTCTTCTCCAAAGTTGAGCTCAATTTCTTGATTTTAATTGAAATTTCAAGGGATATTTGGCTTTGTATAGGTTCAAGGAGGAGGTAACACTGGGAATGCTTTGACCTGTGCAGCTCGTTTGGGTTTAACTCCTAGAATTATATCAAAGGTTTGAACTTTATGTGCCTTCTTGTTGCCATTTCTTTTTTTATTTTCATACTCATATTTGACAAAAGAAGGGGAGCTTTGGAGACAACGATAGTTGTCTCTGCATGACCTATAGGTCACGGGTTCGAACCATGGAAGCAACCACTAATGCTTGCATCAAGATAGGCTGCCTACATCATACCCAAGGGGTGCGGCCCTTCCCAGACCCTGTAAATGCGGAATACTTTGTGCATCGGGCTGCCCTTTTTCTTTTCATATTTGACAAAACTTCAGTTCTATGTTATAATTGCGTGTAATTGTTAAATGTGTTTTCCTTAGAATATGTTTTCTTCAATGGTGAAATCATTATTCATGTTTGGTTGATCTTAATTGTTGTATATATTTCTTAGTTGAAACAATTACAGATATCTCAAATGGTTATACAGTTTCTCATGTTTCAATCTTATTGTAATCATTGTTGTGAAGGTTAAATATTTATCATACCAAACGGATATTTTACAGTAGCCAAATGATGATTGCACCAATAAGACTACATAATATCATTTTAATGTCAAAGAACATCAGTTTTATGCTTGAAACTTTAACTTGAATCTTTGATGCTTAGTGGATTTGAGAAAAATAAAAAGTACATGCTTAGCTCCGGCCACCTTGATTTTCTAGAGTGATTTGTGACAACAATTATCCTTCTTGGTTCCTTGGAGAATGGATTGGAGAAATAAGCCTCTAGTCTCAAAATGGTTCTTACAAAAATTTGAGAAGGTGAAGTTATCCTTTCCGAGGTGACTTCAGCATTTAATGTTTACATAGAATATTATGTCGAATAAGAAAATAAAAATCACTACTCTGATTCATTCTGCTGCTTTACTGTTGCTGCCAGCCTGCCACTTTTGTTGAAAAGGAGTTGAATATCATTGATTGTTTCCCCGGATACTCTTCTTAAGTTCTGCTGCTCCCTTCCACTTCTAACCCCTGCACAATGATGTGAATAGATTTATTTACATTCTCACAAACTCTTAGTAGGTTGCGGATGATTCCCAAGGGAAAAGAATACTGAATGAACTAGAAGCTGATGGAATTGATACATCTTTTATTGTGGTGAGCTAGCCAAACGCCAAGGTTCTTGTGTGTTTTAGCTTTTACTCTTTTATGTAGGCTGCTGCATCTATTCAATCAATCACAATTTTAAAGCATCCAATTTGTCTCTGACATCAGATTAAAACATACGTTGCTTCAGGCCATTGTGTTGGTTTCAGGTGTCCGAAGGGGGCCATTCGACAATCTCTTATGTCATTGTTGACAGTCAAACGTCAGTATTCTCAGCTTGTGTTTATTGCCATTTTTGTGATTGTGCTTTCTCTTGGGTTATGAGAAGTATGTTTTATAACTACTAGCTATGCAAATTCATGTTGTATGCATATTCATCTGATATACAATTTGATTGAAGTGTCTGGATTAGCAACAATATTTTAATTACCCACAGGGAAGTCTGTGTTTTTAGTATGTTATTTGTTAGTTGACTTTCACCTTTTGTCTAATGGCTATTTGTATTAAGTTAAGTGATATGAAGTATTTGGATTCGCTTATTTTTAAATGTATTTATCTATTAAATCTTAGCGCCCTCTAATTTCGAGGGTCTAATTGGAAACAACCTCTCTGCTCTCCCAGGGGTAGGGGTAAGGTCTGTACACACTACCCTCCCCAGACCCTGCTTGTGGGAATTCACCAGGTTTATTATTGTTGTTGTGTTGTTGTATTTGTTAGTGGACTCAAAAATGTTAGGAAGTGTTTAATCATAAATCTTGTAAGCAGTATGTTTTATTTACACTAATTCCTCAAGTACAAAGATTGGCCTCTTGGCTACGTGTCTGGTTGAAATTTCTTTCTACTGTATTGCCTAGGAGGACAAAGGATGGTCGTTTATAGTTCACTATCTGTACTGCATGTTAGTCTTTCACATGTTCTGATGTAGCTAAATAGCTAATATTTGTTGCGTGGTATCTCAGGAAAACACGAACTTCCATCTACACTCCAGGTTATCCGCCCATGGTATCTGATGATCTGCCAGAATCGAATTTGTTATCTGGATTGGACAGTGTGAGACTTGTCTATACTGATGGAGTACTGCATGAAACTGCTTTAGTTGTGGCCCAGGAGGTAATTTATATCGGTCTTCTTTGTCATTAAAGTTGAGTTTCTGCTTGCCAGTAGAATGTATTACAGCCAACTTATGATCATATTTCTAGTATTCCTCTAAGCTCAGATAGACAGAGGGCACTGGGCTTAATACTGTTTTGCTTTTGTTTTTATTGCCTCTGCACTTACTGAATATTTTCAGTCAAATGGAAGAAACTGTATGCCCTTTGATCTCTAGTGCAGGCACATCGTAGGAGTATACCTATTGTGATTGATGCAGAAAGAAAAATAGAAGGGTTAGATGAGATTTTACACATGGCCACCTATGTTGTCTGCTCAACAAGATTTCCTCAGGCAAGCTCTATTTACTCCCTGCACTTCGATGTTCCCTTTATTGTGCATTTTTATTTGGACTTGCATGGATCTACTTATGATTCTTATCTGCTGACAAGTCTTAGTTTATTAGGAACTCTCTCTCTCTCTCTCTCTCTCTCTCTCTCTCTCTCTCTCTCTCTCTCTCTCTCTCTCTCTCTCTCTCTCTCTCTCATGTTTCTCCAAAGTAATTTTAGCAACTGTTGTGTTCCCAGCAAGGAGTAAACTTTATTGATAATGTGAATCATGTTCTTCCCTTAAATTGCAAATAGAATATCTTTTTGCCAATGTTGTACCACGTAATCATGGAGTAAGATTTATTTTGGTACAATTTCTAATCAAAGTGAAATGTCATCCTTTCCTTCCTGGCTTCATTGAAATTTCGAAATCCCTTCCCAGTCTTTCACAAGTTAAAGCGGGTGAGAACTGATAAAAGCTGTTGTTTCGCAGATATGGACCGAGGCTTCTTCTATACCAAGTGCACTTATTTCGATACTTTTGAAGTTGCCAAGTGCCAAATTTGTAATTGTGACATTGGGTGAAGATGGCTGTATAATGCTAGAAAGAGCAGAAACTGGTATGAGAGCATGCTGTTTACTCTTGCCATGAAATACTTTGGTATCTTGTCTTGGCTAATGAAACATTCTGATAGACACAGAACATGTGTTTTCTTTCTCAGCTTTGCTTCGTAACATGCCATTTGGTATCTTTGCAGGGAATCTCCAGTCTGAAGAAGTTGATATCGATGACTTGTTTGAAAAGATGAAGCAGAGCACAGTTATTACCTCAACAATGCCAACATGCAAATCTTCGGTAGTTCACCCTTCAGTTTATGAGATTTTCTTGCTCAATGCTTAAAGAGAGCTTGATGGTAGTGTACATACTAGTCAACAGTACTTTATAGTTTGGAACTGTTTACCACCATAAGATTGAAACTGTATGAGCTTTTTCAATGTTCATCCAGGTTTAGCAAGTGGTTAGAGCTTCAGTTCTTGTCCTTCATGAGCTTCAAAAGTCAGTTGCTTACATAGAAATATTCATTCGGGTTGAGGATGTATGAACCTTGCTCTGGAAATGCACTGTTGTTGGTTTTCTGCATTGTCCTGCAGACAGATGTAGCCTCCACATGTTCTTGAGTAGTCATGTAATTGTGTTAGCACATTTAAATTTTTATAATAGACGTTTTGGTGCTTCCAATAAAACTGAAGCTAGTAGTGCTTAAAATATTAGGCTATGATAACTTAGCCCCAAAAATGTTAATATTCCAGGATGTAGCAAAGCTGCACGCAAAAGGAATTGGAACTGTGAGTGGTAGGCTGCTGGTTGGAACAGCTGAAAAGATACCAACTTCAGAACTAGTTGATACAACTGGTGCTGGAGATGCATTTGTCGGAGCAGTTCTTTATTGTACGTGAATTTATTCTATGCACCTCTTTTATCGCCTATTCTGCCATAACTGTTCTTACATTAATAGTGTGCCATAATCTGACATCTCTCTTGCTCCCCCTCTGCTTGTGGCTAATTGAGAATTTTTACAATCCTTTCCCTATGTGTTTCCATAATGGCTGGTTTGTTCAAGGTTTACTCCTGTTTAGGCATAATATATACAGTAGTACCTTTTTTCCTTAATATTTGGTTTCGAATTTTTTTCTGAATAATGTCATTGTTCCTTGCATTGCTGGTGGGATATTTTGTTAATGGTTTGTTCAGCATCCTATACAAGATCATGTTGTTGTGCCTTGTCATTGATGTTTTCTCATGGTTTCTCTTAAATGAATTTGCAGCGCTCTGCGCCAATTTGCCACCAGAAAGAATGTTGACATTTGCTGCTCAAGTGGTAAGTAGACTTGAGATATATACTAAATATTTAATATTGGTTATAGTCTTATTGAGGTAGATGATTGCAGGCAGCTATTGGGTGCAGAGCCTTAGGAGCAAGAGCTGGTCTTCCTCACCTGAGAGACCCTCGCTTGCAACCCTTTTTAGCTTAGAAGACCAGAGATGTTGATATAACAGTGGAGTACCAAAACTACTTCTTGTCACATTAAAGTAAAAATAGCATGGGCTAGCCAGTTTTCGGATTGGTTTTGAAAATAGCTAGCGTTTGCAAAGTCATTAAAAAATAGTCACTATTTTGCTGCAACACACCATAATATACTGGAGATTGGTGTACCTGTGTATGATTCCAACACGCGGAAAGTTCCAGCATAATATACTGGAGATTGGAGCACTTGTGTATGAACTTCCAGCATATTATGCTGGACCGGTATATTATACTGGAACTCCAGTATATTATGCTGGAAGTCCAATATATTATACTTGAACTACACTGGAGTTCCAGTGGAATATTTTTCGGATTTTGAACAGTGTGTTCGTTCAAATTTATCTTTACATGAAAAGTGGCTAAATTTCAATTACTTTTGAAACTGTGGCTATTCAATGACCATTTGTTAATCTGGCTATTTTTGGATTTCCTAACTGAACTTTATCCACAATATTTACAAAACTATTTTTGCCACTTAGAAATAGCTTAACTCTATCCACTGCAATAGTAAAGGTATCGTGATGGGTTAGTGTTGTCATTACAGAGGGTAAAGTCCAGTGACTTTACCATTATAAGGGGGAAAGTTTTGTGACTTAAATGTGATAATAAATAGTTGTGATTTTATGGTATAGTTTGTATAGTTTAGTAACTTTAGTATAGTGGGTATAGTTTAGTAACTTTACTGTCCTACATAATAAGTTCAGTTACTTTAATATGGCAAAAATAATTTTGTGATTTTGTTGTTATGACGGATAAAGTTCAGTAATCTCGTTTTCCTTTTGCTCTGCTCATTGGTGGCAATCTGGCATTTTCGCTTGCGAAGGACATACCAAGTTAAAAAAAGAAAAAAGAAAAAAGGAACACGTAATGCGACTGCCACCAAATAGGTAAATAATGAGCACGCAACAATTTGAATGAACATCAGCTTAATGTAAATTTAAAGATGATTAACTAGTGCGGCTAGATTATTAAGGGAATATTGTCGAGAAAACATGCACTTTCTTACAGGTGACAACATGTAAAGACAATGATCTTGATGTAAGTACGATTTAAAAAAAGTTAAAGAGGCTATCAAAATGACTATTGTGTTTGAAAGGACATTCAAGGTTAAGGTAATATTTTTTAAAATTCTCGAAAACAAAATAAAGAAAGAGAAAAAGCCGCGTAAAGAGAAAAAAAAAAAAAAAAAAAAAAAAAGAGAGAGAGAGAGAGAGAGAGAGAGACTTTAGTGCCAAATTATTTATTTATCTTTTCCCTGGGAAAGGGACCGGCTGGTGGCAGCCAGTACAAAGTCAATTGACGCAAAGAGCACATTAATACGATCCAAGTTGAGATATCGCTTTCTGAAACAGGGCACATTCGTCTGTCCATACTGTGTTCGCCCCTCCCCTTTCACCCTATGCTGATGCATTCCCTAACCATAGAAGTTGTAAGATATTGATTCTTATATGTACCTAGTCTTTAGTTACGTGCTCTGCTCTTCTACCTTATATCAATGAGAGCGTGTTTATAAAAAAATCGCATAAATATAGAGTATTAAATAAAATGTGTTTGTGTTATAAAATAAAAACAAAAGTAATTTTTTTGATAATGATGAATATTAATCCCACGATTCTTCAATGATTTATCAAATAACACAAATTAAATAATTGAATTTTTTGGTCTTTTCAAGATTTGTAAATGAAGAGGTTGGCCTTATAATTTTGATAAGTCACAATGTAAAGTCTAAAATAATTAATATATTCAAATTAATATTATTTTAGAATAAATTAAATAACTTACTATAGAAAATGCTGACATATGATAATGTAGTCCTATTACGTGTATGGTTTGCAATGTTGTGTTTGCAAAAGCGTTACTGCAGACTCTAGCACCATTAGCCTGCCCATACCTAGTCTCTAATTCCCTCCAAATATCCTTGGCATATTTAGAATACACGACTGTGCGATGGATTTGCTTAGTGACAGAGTTGGAAAGCCATGCAACAACCAAATCATTGCATCTCTGCCACTGTCGCAAGAGAGGAGACCCCTAGGAGGTTTCTCTACAGTCCAATGGATGAAATCCAGCTTATTTCTAACGGAAAGGGCAACCAACACGGATCGTCGCCAACTCCCATAACAAGTCCCATCAAAGGGCTCAGAGACTAAAGAACTACCCAACAAATCAGAGGGGTGAACATATAAGGGATGGCAAGGGTGAGTATAATCATCATGATGAAAAGGAGGATGGGTATGTGTTGAGGTAGTAGCACTTGTAGTGTCAGAAACAGATGGAGGCGAAGATGCAGCAGATATCGCCATTGAAACCAAAAATGCTAAAAATACAGTAATCCTAATGAAGAATCACAAAGCAATAGGAGAAAATGAAAGAGAATACCAACTCTTCTTGCAACCGTAGAAGGTACGGCCTTGAAATCGAAAGAAAAATCACCAGCAAACCCTAATATATGCTGTTTGGACCTTGATGCGTGTAATTGAAGCAATAACCAACGAAGAAGTGATAATCATCGTGTTGTGCAGAAGAAAAGACCACAATATAGCTCGATCAGTAAAAACTCCGTCGATTTCGTCAATTTCAACGGAGATCGTAACGGTGATGAAATCCGACGAGGGTAACCTCGGAAGGAAGAGAAACACCGGATCTATGAGATTCCGAGCTCTGATACCATATTAATAACAGTAATGGAGGTGAAATCATACAAATTTGATCTGGGGTTTGAGTTTGAGAGAAGAGAGCTTTTGATATTATTTCTGAGCTGAAAGAATAAAATGATCTGTTTCTTTACAAATGAGGAACCCAAACAATATATATA